AGAATGATTTCAATTCCATCCCTCAACTCTGCTAATTTGTAGGAAAACAACTTAAAGTGGTAAGATCTTAGAAGAAAACAGCAAAGCAAAAGGAAGACCTCTTTCCCCACCACTTCTCCTGGGTGGGCTCTCCACTGGACCACTTTTGGCATGTGGGGCTTCACTTTCCCCCAGCCTGCCAGCCGGGCTTCAGGGTGTCAGAGCAAGCTCCACATTCACTAGCAGAAACTTCAGTGGCTACTAAGCTTAACACCTCCCTGGCAGGGCTAAAATCAACACTGCAAGCCTCCTGGCCTGGTGTCCAATTTCCTTGCTTAACTGGGGTGAGGACAAACTCCAAGGGCTAAGAGAACTGGAATCCCAGAGGCAAGAACCCTTGCTCAACTATGGAATTACTGATATGCCTGAGGCTCTCTCAGAGGAGATGGTTCATATGCTAGGCTCCAAGATCACTCTTTCATCATGCATCATGGTTCCTACCTCCCCAGGAAAGGAAACTCATTGTCCTGTTTGCTCTCCTACACTCACTCTGTTTACTGGGACATATAAAAAGACACCAGGCATCCAAAGCGCTTAGGGTAGAGAGCCTTGCCAACAAAATCAGATGGGGCAAATTGTGCATCGAGCTGTGGTGGGTACAGGCATCAGGCCCAGGGCCCATTATGAGCTAGTACAGGTCCAATGACCTTCACACAGCTAGAAACTATCCCCTTGGAGTGGGGTTAAAGAATCACCTGGCTACTGTCTACCTCCTGGCACCCAGAGCTGCAGAAATTCAGTATTTCCTGTGACTTATGGGATATGTGGCTGAGGTTACTTCAATCCTATGTACATATGTGCTCAGTAGACCCTGCCAGCCTCAGTGTTACAATCACATGCCTGCACTTTGGGTTGGGGGTGCCTCAGGCTAAGTATGAGGTAAGTGAAGGGTTTAAGTAATGTGTGGGATCTAGGGGTGGGTGACCATGTCCTAACACCTTTGGATGCCTCTGATTAAGAGATTAACTTCCCTCATAACCAATCTCTCACCCCCGCCACCTTCCTCCACTAGCCTCACACACCTCGCTTATCAGTGAAAACTTTGACACTGATGTATTATTTCCATGTTTGAAAACAGATCTGCTGCCAGCAAAGAATTTATCGGATTCTGGTCTCTGAGGGTTGGTGAGGTCAAGATCCTCCCCACTATTTGCCAGCACACTATAAAAGAGAATCTCACATAAACCAAATGCTGCAGGAATAGCAGGGTGGCCCTCCTGGGTTCTGATGCTTCCTGGCACCTAATTCATGGCCACATGACACTCAGCCAGGCAGAGAGAGACTGCCTTCCAGCTACAACCTCATACCTTGGCAAGAAAGTGCTTTTGCCAAAAATTTTATGGAGTTTGTTTAGCTCACTTCAAATATTTTATTTTAAGTAAATCATCCAAACAAAATCCAGTTCTTTCTGTTGGAAGGGAAAATGGTGTGTCTCGAGTTATTAAGAGGCAATTTTGCTTTTTGGACTTTTCTGGGGCCTGATTTTAAGGGGACTCTCATGTGAGTAGAATCCCCATTGCCTCTTCAGATAAACCTTACCCATTGTTCTGATATGGAGAGCACAATGGTTTCCTGTCTTTGTGGCCACTTCCTACCTATGTAACAATAAACTGGCATTGTAACTGACATTTGCAGAGAAGGACCTGCAAAACACTTACTTTGTTTCCTCTTTGCTGGGAAAAAAGATCTCAAACTCTACTAAGACCATGGCAAAGCCATGCAGGGAGAAATTCTGTAGGGTTTTATAGAGAGTCAATGCATCAATGCGGTGCCAGCACAGCCAGAAATAACCCATTATTCATTTAACATCTACAATCAAAATGTATCTTTGAGTATTTGAGAGCTGTAATCAATTTCTGTTATATAGGTATGTACGTATGCATGCATTTATGTAGGTATATAGTCTTGACTCATTGCAGAATATATTAAAACACATACATATGTTGAATAATTCAAAATATAAGTATGATCATATACAGTGAAGACAGAAGCAAGCTTGTGCACGCTGTGAAATGTGGCTTGCATTTTATTTCCCACTTCTGAGCAATGAAAAAACAATGGCAGCAATCTTTAAGCAATCGGGTTGTGTCTTCATAACTATTTTTAAGCTCAGGGAATTAAAATATAAAAACATATGCAATAAACCCAGAGGCACTAGCCTTTTGATTTTAGGCTAGCAGAAGGGCAACTTCATTTTGCTCTCCCACTGTTCTGAGTCAGCAGGTACTGACAGGCAGTCATTGTTGCTAGTCCCACAGGTATTCCTCTCTGCATTCAACAGGGCAGCTTTCCCTGCTTGGAGTATCACTGGTTGACCTCAAGGGGCATTTGACAATGTCTAGAGACACTTGTCACTTTGAGGGAAGGGTTATTGCTTAATACTCTGTGATACACAGGACATTCCTAAAACAAAGCTGATGGTGAAACTGTCAATAAAACAAAGGTGAAAAACCCTGGAGTCTTCTAGTCTTAGAAAACACTAGCCTTAGCTTGACGTTTTGGCCTTGGTTTCTCACACTACAAACCTGTATGCCAGAAGAGGTTTTATAACTAATAAGAGGAGGAAAGAATGAGCCCAAAGGTTTGTTCCACATATTGGATATAATAACAAAGGAATTTCAAAGTAGGAGGTCTTCGGGCAATAGCTAAGGGACATCAGGAAAAGTCTACCTGGATGCAGTATGGAAAGCTGGGCATTGCTTAAAAAAATTGGAAGCTATCCCATCTCTTAACTGACTCTGAACAAATGAGCCTCGCTGAGGAGAATGTGTTTTACAGCAGTGATGGAAGAACTGCTGGAGAGCAAGCGAGGGTAAACAGATGGAAAGAACACCAGGGGAAATTGAGAAATAGCCATCTGATGATATAATTCAGACTTGGGCCGAGAACCGCATGCCTGCACGCTTCCAGCTCTGACCTGCAGGTGCAGGTGCAGCCTGTGGCCTCCCGGTGCCCCTCCAGCTGGGTGGCTTTCTCTAGTTGTCTCCCTGGGTGACCGAAGGGATGGATCACCAGATGTGTCACATAGCACAGCACTTGATATGACTGGTTACAAATTCTCTTCCTTTGTCTTCTCTTTTCCCCTTTTCATTTCTTTATAAGTCACCAGACTTCTTGATATGGAGAGGCCAGCTCATAATGGATAAACTAATAAAATCTAGTTTTACTAACGAATGTGTCAGTAATCATCATTTTGACTCTTAGAAATTAGGGCGTTGGGTGGTACAAGTCTGTAATCCCAGCACTCAGGAGGCAGAGGCAGATGGATCTCTGTGAGTTCGAGTCCAACCTGGTCTACAGTGTTAGTTCCAGTACAATTGGTGCTATTACACAGAGAAACCCTGACTCAACAAACAAAAAAGAATTAGGGCAGTAATTCTAGATTTGGGTTGTTTCTGTGCACAGTTCATATTCTTGTGAGGCTGATCACAAGAGAATCAGGAGATGTACCACATCTATGTCATGCATACCGAAGAGGTGAACTGCAAATTAACATAGCAGGAGTCCCTGGGAGGCCTGTCTGTCCTTCATCTAGTTTCTCTCTGCTTCATTATCTACACTAGAGAGAAATGCAAACCCTTCTACCGATGTGGCTACAGAGGACAATGCTATCAGTGCAGCATGGAGACTGTTCACACAGATGGGAATGAAGCCGAAGACTGCCTCTGAAGCAGCCATACATAAAGAAACTCTGGAAGCTAAGGGGACAATTCACACACATGCTTTTGAAGTGCCCATGTGTTAATCATAGTTGCCACTTCTTTCGGCATTAATTTCTGAATCTACTGTCATGCATCATCAGCCTCCTTTGAGCTAGTTTATGACTTCATTATCTTCAAAGGAAAGTTCTTTTATTAACTCTATAACTTATTTTTTGCTAATTCAATAAGCAGTTTCATCCATTGTAAAGTTTCATGGCTCTCTATCTTTAAAAATAATAATATCTATTAGACACGGGTAATATATACTGAGCATTAACATATTATATATTAACATACAGCAGTTTTTCAAGTATAATTTCATATAGATAAAAAAACATATATATTGGAGGACATTAAATAACTAAAAGAGGGAAAACCAGGATTCCTTGAACAACATAAACTCCTCCAATTTCAGATAAATAAAATCAACAAACCTGTTTCCATATGAAAGCTGTTTCCAACTGTAGGAGAGTCCACTTCTCTCAGCCTGACTAGCTCATAAAAAAGTTTCTAATCAATTTCCTGGATCTGCTAATACTGCCACCATACATCAGAAAAAAACGTGACCATGTATTTCTAACAACACTATTTCAATCAGAAGGTTGTCTCAAAGCCAGGTGTATTTCAGGGCTAACACGATGATTTTCTAGTAGATGTATGAAAGTCCCCATACGGAGCTGATGTGAGCCCTGGCACAATGCTCTGCCCCCAAGATGAATAGAGCAGCTGCAGATAGCCTTCAAACTTCAAGACTTTTAGATACACTCTTCAAGAATTCAGCTAAAAGTGTCAGGATGAAAACCCACTGCCTTCAGCATTATCAGATGTGCCCAGGAGAAAGGGTGACAGGGTAGAGATGGAAGGAGGAAGTACAGTTGTTTGGTGGTATAAGGAAAGGAAGTAAATCCCTAAGAGATTATGGATGTCTGGCTTTCCTGAGTATCATTATCCTAGCCCCAAGGACTGCAAATGCTATTAGCAGTTACAAATGTGCATTAAGTTATCTGTTCTTCTTTGAAACTCCATCTAACCATTTGTCTTCCTGGGTTCTCCTAACAGCAGATTCTGATGGAGATATCTACACTGATCTCAATCCAGCTTCTGTGAAAGAATGATAGCTGATTCCAGGTGCCTGTGGGAAAGTCCATCTCATACCTACAGAATCAAGTCTATAGAAAACTCACAACAGGCTTTCCTACTTACTCACCACAAGACATCAAACAAATATGAAGAGCACATTTTTCCAAAGAATGAACTTACTTTCTGTGCAAATAGGACAGCATCCTTTTCTGTTGAGTATTTTGCCCTGGTTGGGAGGGGTAGAGAGAAACACCAAAGGTTAATGTTTAAAAAAATGGTCTGCTGAGGAGAAATCTTCTGTTTTAAAAATCTAATAACAGAAAAACCAACAACATTAGTCCAGACTGTACTTGAACTTCACGGCGATGGCAGTAAAAATGAACTTTCAAGCATCAGGTTCCCAGGCCAGGCAAAACTATTCCAAAAAGCTTCCCTGTTTTTATCCTTTAAGAAACATGACACCTCGAAGTATGGTGTGATTTTTCTCACATGGATGATGGAGAAAGCCTGGACACAACTTTCTCATTGATAGCCAAATCAAGCCTTGTAAAGGTCAAGTGCATACACACACAAATGGGAACTACTGCCACTCTGTCTACACTAGCACAGCCTTCTCCCTGCTGTGCTGGGACAAGCTCCCCTGGATCCTGTAACCCAAGCTTGGATGCATGTATCTGTGGATACAGTGCATAGCAGATCACACTCATCGGTCTTCTTCCTCTTCAGCATCATCCCTGCTAACTCACTGCTCTATAATCAAAGCCATCGAAGCAGCAGAGAGTTCCATAGTGCAGAGTAATTTTCCATCACTGCTCTGAAAATGCAGTGCAACTGCCTAGTCAAATGTTTTTTTTACTGTACCTAACGTCTGGCATTTAAAGAAGGAAGCACACTCTGCAGAACTGGGTTGGAGAATGACCTTTTCTTATCTCTGACTCAGTGATTAATCACAGGGAATAAGAAATGTGGAAGTAGATTAATATTCAAGGAACTACTCTTGTATGTGACCTTGAGTTGATTATGAGGATTTAATGAGCTAACACTTTAATGTTTAATGATATGATAGTCATTGTTACTAAGAATGGCAAAATCTTTCTGAGCTGAGTCTATTACCTTCCATAGGTGAAGAAGCTGGTACCCACAGGGAGTTAGAAACAAAATGTAAACTTCCTGTGGCACCTTAGGCTATGTTCCTTATACTACAGTTCTTCAAGGCATTTATTATCACCTACAGTCAGTACAGACTGCTGTGTGTGCCACATGTTTCATCTCATATGAAATCTGAGACAACACTCTGAGTATAAGTGATGCCATCCCTCTTTTACAGGAAACAAGGAAGCAAGAGGCACTGAGAGGTGTTCCAAGACCCAGGACAGAGGCCCGCAGCTCAGCTCTGCACATTCACTACTGGTGAGTGGTGTGCAAAGCAGGTTTGAATATTTGCAAAATAATAACCCCATTGGCTTTTCAAATGGCATTTTGCTACTGAAGACTAAAGCCATGTGTCGCTCATTTCTTCATCAACACAAGCCTATAACGACACATTAAACTCTATAATGTCATGGGGCAGCGGTTCTCAACCTTCCTAATGCTGCAAACTTTAATATAGTTGTTTGTGTCATGCTTAATCCTCAACTATAAAATTATTTTCATTGCTACTAGTTTCCTACTGTTATGAATTATAATATAAGTATCTGATATGTAACTCCTGTGCCAGGGTCATTCAACTCCCAAAGGGGTCACAACCCACAGGTTGAGAACCACTGCCATAGGGGTTCTCATTAAAATTTTCAAGGACAAAGTCAAAGAAGATCAGCCCCAGTCCCATGGAACAATTTCCCCAGAGGCTGTTCTGAGGCAGTCTGCCCCACTGGAATAGAGGGTTTGAAGACAGGTTTCTATCCAAGTGTGAATGGATGATTCTGTACATGTGTATCTCAGCAGACACTGTCATTTCCTTCCCATGTTCAGAAAATGTAAGTGGAGATAGTGCTGTTAGCAAATTAGTGGGGATGAATAAAGCACAAACTGTGAGGTCAGAGAGCCTGGGCTGTGTGTAATGAGGTGGAAACTGGACACGCTGTAGGCTCATCTGGAAGAAGAATCTATTCAGTGCCTACTGCAGCAGAGAAGTCTTGAGGGAGTGAGGATATTTCTGTGACCACAGAGAAGACCTCACTATACATGGATGATATTGAGGAGGCAGTGGTCCATCTCACTGGAACTCCCACAGTCTTTGGAATTACCTAGGAGGGAATACAGGAAATACAACCATAATCCCCTTCTGTAAAGGAAAAGAAAAAGGAGAAGGAAAAGAAGAAGAAAAAGATGTGGTAACTAGGAAGGATGTAACAGCAGATAGACTCTTGTTTTCTAATTTTAGTATCTTTTTTTAAATTTCCCTGGTCAATGATGGCAAGGTGAAATATTGTTGTCTTTTCTTTTTTAAAGGATTTCATGGTAGAGCTAAACTATCCTCCAAAGACCTTGTGCTGGCTCTGAGAAGGGAAGGGGAGCACTGGTTGGAGTGATGCCTAGAAACAAAGAGATGGTTCTGGAGGACACAGCTAGGGCACTGGCAAGCATCTGCAGAGGGGAACAGGCCAGGCACAGGCCTTTCTGGCCTGAGTGTGGCATGCACAGTGAGATCACCGGGGAGACACAGGCTACAGAGCTGTGACCTCCCAGCAGAAACCACGGGCCCAGCTACAAGTGGCAGAGCTGGAGTAAAACTGGAAACTCCACAGTGGCCTGCTCAGGCGAGTTACATGAGCCACCAGGTTGGCACTGCTTCCCGGTTTTGTCTTGTAGAATAAGGAAGCCCATTATTATTAACATGTGCTGGGAGAGTTCATTAGCAGTGAGGGTTCCCCGAGGACTGGCAGAAATGATGTGATTCCATTTTTCCCAATGAATATTTATAAGCAGCCCATGCTCAAGTCTGCTTATTGTACCTACTTTTTTTTTTCTTTTATGGGAAGTTTTCAGTTTTATGTCTGAGGCTTTTTAAAGCAAGACTAATTAGGGGATTTTTTTTTTACCCTTGCCCCCCCCCAATTCAGTTGTGCAATGGCAACAGCTGTTGTTTTTTTGTGCCTCATTTGGCACTCAAGGAAAAACAGCAACTTTTTGTTTATAATAATAACAGATGTGAATAAAATTAAAAGCTTTCTATAACAGAGAATAGAAGACATGTTCTGAATATATGGATATGTTTTCTTCGTTCACTAGAAGGCACTGAATAGGTTTGACATTTTCCCAAAACGTACAAAGCCTTGAAAGGTTTCAAGTTGCTGAGGTGGATTCAAAGAAACCCACGCTTCAGAAGATAATGGTGGCTTTATTCAGGGCGCTGGGCTGCGGGCTTTTGAAAAGAGGTATTTCCATAAGGACGCTATTTCCATGTGGGGCTCCAATGGAGGCCAGGGCTAGAGAGGAATTTTCTGCAGAGTAGTTGGGGCTTCTGCAATGCAAGGAAATCCTCCTGGGGAATTTACTATTAACCACATATTACCATGGCTATGCGAAGAAAACTGGGATTTGAGAGAGAAAAGAAAAAAAAGAAGGGGAAGCAAAATGTAGTTAGGTTGTTAAATAGAAAACCCAACAACAGAAAACAAGGTCTCGGCAGAGAGAGAGAAGTGTTTACAAAGACACCAAAAGTAGGAAGACTGCAGCAAGAACTGGAAAAGAGTATAGTCACACAAGGCTAGACTCTAGGTATGGTTGGTAAGAAGGAATCAGTAAGGAATCAGTAAGGCTTCAGCTATTGGGGTATATGTGAGCTCTCCCAGTGTCTGGTTGTCTTTTCAGACAATGCCATGGGCTATGCATTTCTGAAGGTAATGAGAAAGTAAAGCTGAATTCCCAACATACCTGTGGGCAGCTGCTGACAGGAATGCATTGTTTCTTGCGACACTCTGTCTTCCCCTTCACACAAGCACAGATGCTACAGTTGACTGAGGACCACATCTCTCCATCCTGCAGGACACAGCACAGGATTCTGTTATCAGGAGGCCGAAGGGACTGAGCCAGTGGGCTATGATTTCCAGATTGAGAAGAGCAGGCCTATCCTGCCTGAGCCACACAGCTTAGCCCAAGGGACTCCGGGGCACCTATATGTAACCAACTTAACATAGTGGTTAGGGAGGATTTCAAGCACTATGTGTTTGGGGGGTGGGAGGACTTGAAGAGAACAGCAATTATTCAAACAATTCTCAATAGTCAATCAGGTACCTGGTCAGTAGCCATCTGAACACACAGAGCCCAGACAGACCAGCCCTAGAGAGATGCATAGCCTGTACGCTGCCTGGCTAGCACTGTCCTCCAAAAAACGTAGGATAGCATTTTGGGATGCATTTTTTAGACTAGACTCTTTCTTAACTAGAATGCTACTTGGTAAATGTATTGGGCTCATTGGATTGATAGCTTGCAGTTGTCCAGTTCTGAGCCAGAACACATCAGGGACATACTGTACTTGAAATTGGAAAGATCAGACGACAAGCAGATCTAAAGGCAAAATGAGGATTCCTTCCCAGGCCTGTGGATTCAAGATCTTCGGCGCATCCTCTCATTTCTCATGTTTTGAAGCTATTTTAAGTTCTGCCCACCCTCTGCTTCCTTTCAAGAAAGAGAGAGAACTAACTGTATCTGTCTTTACAGATTGAACTTACCAATATGCTATGAGCAAATGTTCCCAGGACCCACAAATCTCTGTAAAGTACTTTAAGCCTTTTTATAAAGTGACTTAAAGTATTTTGTCCAAAGCACTATCATGAGAGCATATTTTATCTTGGTGCTCTAGGGAGAAGTGATGGCTTTGAATAAAGAGGATTTTACATGAGTGTCTCTGGAAACTTGCTGCATGACCACCTCCTATTGGCTTAATTCACTGTGTTCTCTTTTGCAGGCTCCCTAAGAATCCAGACCTCTGAGCAAGCCACCACATCTGACAAGCTGTTAAGGGTCTAGACGCTCAAGGCTGTCATCAAGCAAGTCTTTGATACAGCCTCTCTCTCTCTCTCTCTCTCTCTCTCTCTCTCTCTCTCTCTCTCTCTTCCTTAAGAGATAGATAGATAAGAGAGAGGAGACAGCATGAACAAGGCCAACACCTGCTTCCTGAAGTTAAATGGTCACTATCCCACTTAAGATCACCAGAAAACAATGTAGAGCACACTCCAGGTAGAGTTGAATGGCCAGGAAGCAAGCCTTTGAGAACTGTGGAGTTGGACTCTCAAATTTATGCTGATCACTTACATAGTACGAATCCTTATCTGAACACCTTGAAGTGAGCCATTTATTTAAAGAAATCTGTAGAATGCTGCTGAAATCATCTAATTAATCATAGATCCATCAGGATCTGGCCATGGTCATGATCTGGACAAGGTTCACTGAGCATCCCCAAGCAAATGGCATGCTCTCAGGCATTTGGTCACCATAACCACACCAGCCACCCATGTGGCATGCTCATATGAACTTCAGGCATTGACTGATCACATATAGAAAGAGAAATAACACTTACACATTTGGAATCTTCCATGGCCTTGATTTTAGCACACACAAACCCACATACACACTTATGTAAATTATTATATCAAATATACATGTGTGTTTTTAAATTTATAGATTACATAAAACTCTAATCTGTGTTATATCTGGAAATAATGGCTCCCACAGCTTATGACACTTGTTATGGATTATTGCATACATACCCTGAAAATCTTGCTACCAAACTTGCATACTTTGACATCATCTGGGGGCACTCGTAGGAGACACTCTTCACAGCAGGCATCCCCATCATTGTCACAGACACCAGGCTGGGAGCACTTCTTCTTACACACCATTGTAGAGTCCTGGAGGCCAAAGGCAGATTAGAAATTAGTAATGACTTTCATTCCTCCTAGGCATCCTTCTCAGGCCTCCTTTAACAACCCATAATGGCTCTCTCTGTTGTACTCTCCTAGCACTGTGCTTTAATATGGTGCAATAAACACTTCATCTACTTCAAAACATATTTCCTGACTAACATCTCTAGCAGATGAGGGTGTAGAACACTCCCAGTCTTACGTCTACTGGCCTAGAACTTCATCCTTAATGTACTTCCTCAGTGAGACAAGAACTCCCAAATCGGCCAACACATCTCCTTCTTCCTGCCCTTATTTCACTCCTACATAAACAGAACTTGTCCGGGTTTCCTGCACCTTCCCTAGAAATTAGGAAGAGCACAGGATGAGGCTGTTGGAGAGGTAAACTCCGTGGACAGAAAGGAATGTTCTTTATCACAATAAATGCTGCCTTTGCCTTTTGTGGCTTAAATGAGAACACCCTTCCTCCTTCAAGACTCATATATTTTCATACTTAGTCCTCAGTTGACAAACTGCTTGAGAAAAATCAGAAGGATTAGGGGGAATGTCCTTGTTGGAGGAAGTATTCACTGGTAGGGTGGGATTTGAGGTTTAAAAATCCGTGCCAGGCCCAAGTCTCACCCACCCCTGTCACCTGGAGATCAGGTTGTAAAACTTTCTCCAACACCATGCTTCCCACAATGATGTTATTAGACTTATCCTCTGAAACTGTAAGTCTGCAATTAAATGCTTTTATAAGAGTTGCTGATGGAGAATGTACCTCTGTGTATGTTCATCTTATTGATTGTTGAATAAACTACTGTTTGGCCAATGATGCAGCAAGTTAGACAGGACTAGGAGTCAAAGAAGATTCTGGGAAATGTAGTAAAGAAGTGGTGATCCAGGCAGGAAGTGACATAGCAGGGAGACTCATATTTAAGGAAGGACAAGTGGTCCCTTTTCCCTTTCTCTCTTTCTCCAGATTAGTGATGTGATCCATAGGCAAGGGAGGATGCCAATGGAAGGCATCCGATAAGATAAGTCTTATAAAATATATAGATTTATGATAATTAAGACTGAGCTAACAGATGAGAATCCTAGTCATTGGCCAAGCAGCATTTGTACCTAATATAAGTCTCTGTGCATTAAGTGGGGCCCTAACTCAGCGGGCAGAACTCTGGCGGCTGATGAAGACCACCCACATGACAGTAGGGCTCGGGCAGGTTTTGGCGGAAGATTTATCATAACAAGTTGCCTTAGTCATGGTGTCTCTTCACAGCAATAGAACACTAATTAAGAGATGGCTGACACAAAGATGTCTACAAACTCACATTGTGATAAGCCCATCACTTTCAGGACAAGTATTCATTCCAGTATTCTAACTAGAATACTGGCACACATTGCCTGATTATGTCTCAAAGATTCCTTAAGATACAGAGTGATATAAATGCTAACATAACTAGCTCCCATTTGTGGACTGATGGCCTGTCCCTCAACCAAGAGAATTGGGAAGGTGACATGTTTCAGTAAAGGCTCAGTTTCAGTTTCCAGGAGAAAGCTGTGGCCTGTGAGATTTCAGTATAGAAGTGAAGTCATGGGCATGAAGAGCAAGCTCACAAGGAGATGCTCTGAGTGTTTACATAAAGCAGTGTATATAAAGTGAGTTGTACGTTCAGCACAGGATCATGCAAACCATCACTTCATGAGAATATTCATGGGCTTTGAAACGGATCAGATTCACCTCTGTAGTAAACTGTAAAGCCATGCTTTTTTCTTCTCCTGAATACAATTGAAGTTATTTTCATTGTTAGGTATGCTACAGAATTCAGATAGGTGGAGCCCTAGAGCAGAACCATTTGTATTTGTCTGACTACAGAGAATGCTTAGAACAGCCTCCAGAACTTCTCTGTGACCTTGCATATTCTTCACATAGCATCAACAATGATTCCTCCTGATGAAAAAATTCTATCACATTTGCCTACAATTCTACTGTAACCTAAGCTCACTGGGTAGCACCACAGTCCCTAGTGCCCCCTTACCTTGCAAGTGCATACTGTGCAGTTATCATAGACAAATGATGATCCATTGTCATAAACATCACTGCGGAACAAGCAGCTCCCAAAAGGAAGGTCAAATACTTTCCGCTGACCTATGGGGAAGCAAGAGTAAGTACAATGTAAGCAAGACAGAGACCAGACATATCCCATTTTACTATCTTATCATTGATATTAAATCACAGGGCAGTAGAACATTCTCACAAGACCAGGTAAATGTGACATACAAAAATAGAGCCTTGGGCCAGGTATACCAGGAGGTCCCCAAGAATTAAGAATTTGAAGAGTCACTGTGCAAAAATTTGATTCCACAATGAATTTCGCAGTTCCAACAAGTTATCTGTTTATCATAGTGGACTTACGCTGCCTTGTGGAGCTTACATGGAGTTAAGATTATTTCAGAACAATATGGTGAGCTCTAGTTTATGTCTGCTGTGCCATAGACAACAAGTAACATTATTTCCCAAAGTAGCATTAGTGAAAGAGAGGCTGCAGGTAGAAGGAATCAATGTATCCTCGGGATTATCATGAAATAGCAACTGTTATGGTCTACATGATTTGTGTTCCCACAAAACTCATACACTGAAACTAATCACCAAGCAATCTTATTAAGTGGTGTGAGATTTGAGAGGTGATTAGCTTGTTGCGGGTAGGGGAGCTCTCACTAAAATGTCTTTAGGTAACAGACCAAAGAAACACTCCTTATTCCTCCCACCATGTGAAGAAAAGACAAGCATCTATGAGCTATGAAGAAAAAGCTCACAGAATCTGTAGGAACCTCAACATTGGGCTTTCCATTCTCCGGAAGGGCATTTCTGTTGATTGAAAGTAACCCAGTCATTGATATTTCATATAGTAGCCTAAATAGGTTAACATTTAAGACCAGTAAAGAAATTATACAATGTCATATAAGGGGAAGTTAATTCAAGGTACACTCAGGGCAACTTCAATTCTATATGCTATATCCAGTGTTTGTGGGTGCTGGACTGGTGAGCAAGGAGAGAACACACTGTCCCCAAAAAGAATATGATCTGATTTATTCCTTCCATCACTTGAGTTTCTATTCCTAGGACAACATGGACCCATTTCTGAAATATGAAATGGTTGAAGTTTCTTTAATTAAAGACTAAATTAAGAAACTGATAATTCGTGTTCACTGAACAAATTTATAGGCACATTACTCTTTCTTTTTGTTTAAGGAAGGTTAACATTCATTATTAGTAGGACTGATGGAATCTTTATCAATACACCCAGTTCACCTACACACATACTAAATGTTATTCTCACAATTACAGTGTTGGAAATACCACTAATGGGAGTTAAAAAAGTATTCTCTTCATGTGAGAGGTCAGGGGTACAGCATTAGACCCAGCACTAAATCAACTGGGTTTCATCATGAGCAAGAAGCTTTCCAGACATCAGAAGATAACAGTGAGCTATGCTTTGCATCCCATATATAGACTCTATCATGACCTTGACTGTGATCACTCTGGGCTCATTGACTTCACTCATAAAGTGGCCTCATATCACTACCTGTATCTACAATGATAATGTTAAAGTATACAACTAAAAACTATCCCATGATTAGACAAAATTTAGCTTAATCAGTATACTTTCTTGGCTTGTATATGTGTGTATAGTGGGTGTGTGTGTTGTGGGTATGTGTATCTGCATATGTGTGTGTGCATGTATAAGGATGTGAGCATGCATGTAGATGCCATAGGTTGACATCAGATGCCTTTCTTGATTTCTCTCTATTTTATATTTTAAGGCATGTTCTTTTACTTGTATCCAGAACACACTGATTTGGCTAGTGTAGATAGTTACTTCCAAGGGTCCTCTGCCTCTACTCCCACAAGATGGCATTACAAACTAGCTACAATGTTGATCTGTTTACCACCTGAGTTCTGAGGATCTAAAATATGGTCCCCAAATTTGCACAACACTGTGCAAATAACCCATAACCATCATTAACATTCCAATCACACAGGTAATTCCTATGTGCCCTGCCACATCTTGAGACTTTAACTTCCAGAGAAATACAAACTGCATCCACTCCCGAAGTACTCCTCCAAGGACCCCGCTGATGTCATTCTGGAGCATCAGAAAACCATTACCTGAATCACATGGATTGATCCATGCCATTATAATCACTTCTGTCAAAACACATCTTAGATTTGTAGCATTATAGTACAAGAAATATCTGTAGCAAGTTTTAAAAATATTTACTACAACAATGATGTTGGTAAGTTTTCACAAATTGAACATTATTCTCTTTATCAATCAATCAGAGATATGCTTCTGTCCTTGAAGAAGCAAAACTAAACTACACTTCAGTAAAATACTTTCTAAAATTATGGCCTGGCTGCCTTTTTCCATTCTTGATCTGTATGTACTTCAAGAATTTTACAATTGACCACAAATGGTTGTGGTAAAAGGCACACATTAACTAAAATTCAATAGATAGATCTATAGGTAGATAGAAAGACAGACAGATGATGCCCCATAGATTTTTGTTATACTGTGTTTGTATTTCTATTCAATTCTAAGAAATAATAAATTTCCTTTTTGATTTTTTTCTTCATGCAATTTTGGTTGTTTAGCTTTCATTAGATTTATACTCTATTGTTTCTATTGTTGTTGATATCTAGCAAATCACATCACTTGTGGGAAGGGGAAGCCCAAAGAATGGGAAGAAAGCTTTTCCAGCTGTGCATCTGACAAACGGGCTACTATCTACAATATACAAGTAACTCAAAAACTTTAATATCAAGAAACCAAACAACTCAATTACAAAATGGGGCAGGGAACTACACAGAGAGTTCTCAAATGATGATATACAAATGATTAAGAAATATTTTTTAAATGTTCAACATTTTTAGCTATTAGAGAAATGCAAATAAAAACTTTTTATGTTTTACCCTATACAGTCAGAATGACTAAGATCAAACAAACAGTAGCAAATGCTGCCCTGGATATAAGGAAAGTGAGCACGTAGTCACTGCTAATGGGAATACAAACTGGCGGAGCTAACATGAAAATAAGCATTGAAGTTCCTCAAATAATGAAAATAGGTCTATCCCATGATCAGCTATACCACTCCTAAAATATCCACAAAGGACTCCATATCCTAATATAGAGTTACCTGTTCATCCATGTTCATTGCTGCTCTATTCATCATAGCTATTGAATGGAGACAGATGTCCATCAGCTAATAGATGGATAAGGAAAATGTGGCATATTTACACAATGTAATATTATTCTTATTCAGCTGTTAAAAATGAAAATTGGTAGTGAATGCATGATGATGGAAACTATCATTCTCAGTGAGATAACCCAGACCCAGAAAGAGAAAGACCTCTTATTTTCTCTCATATATGGATGCTAGTTTTGAGTCTTCAGATACTTGTATTTTGTTTGGAATGGCCACAGAGTTTGGAAAATTACTAAGGAGCCAGGTGGAGGGGCGTTCTAGGGGATAGAGACAGAAGACATTGGTATAAAAAGTATTAACAGAAAATAATGGAATGGGAAGGGTTAAATTGGGGTGGCAGAAGGGAGGGCAGTTAATATGAGAAGTAATAAATAGCACTAAGTAGACTTCTGATGACTAATGATTATGCACATAGATTAACGCATCTGTCAACTCTCATCAAAGAAGCTTCTATCTGCAGTAGATAGTGACTAACAAAGACCCCACCCCCAAACTGGCCAAGGCATAGAAAATAGGAGACTGTGGAATGCCCAGCTCTAAATGAAACATATATCCTGTACCTCCTCCTCCCAAGGCTAAGGGCTCAAAGAAGAGGAGGAGGCAGAAAAAGCAGAAGAACCAGAGGTGGTGGATGGCTATAGGGAAACAGTATTTTTTGGCATAGCAGGAAGCTGTCCAAATGAATTCACTGCAGTTGTGACAAAATATACAAGACTGTGCAAGCCCAAGCTAGACCAAATCCCAGCATGGAGAGAGAAGTTGGGCATGAATTCCCACCCCAAGATGAGGAGCTATTGGAAATTGCTAGCTGCTGGAAACAGAGTCAGTTTTCTCTAAGAGTATAACCCCTGGTAAAACCACACGCCCAAGAATATTTGCACAGTACAGATTGATCTTGGGTATTTTTTTAAGGACATAAAGTTGAGTGAATGGGTAAGGTGGGGGTTAATTTGGGAAGAATTGCAGAGGGTGGGGGAATATGCCCAAAACAAACTGCACAAAATTTTCAAATAACTAATAAAATAAAGAAAAATATATACAGAGCTCTATGTAGAGCCAGGCTTAGTGATACATACTTAACAATTATAATACTTGGGAGACAGAGGCAGGATGAACACAAGTTCAATTCCAGCCTGTGCTATATGGCAAGAATCTGTCTCAAATATAAATAAAATCATAATGTCTCAGTGGAATCTTGCTCACAAACCAATTATAATACATCTTCTTCCTGGCTGAAGTGTACATTTCCTCCCCAGAGGTCCTTCCTCTTAAACTACATGGCCCTTTTCAATCATTGCACTGCCTTTTGCTTATACTATTATTACTCTACTCAATACTACTGTATAAATGGATATTGTATAAATGGTGAATAGATGGATAGATGATGGATGGATCTATGAATTGACTGATCTATTGATTGATTCCTGAACAAACAGACACTACGACAGTTATTTCCTGAGTTAGATGTGACCACTGGCTTAAATTACCCCTCACAAAAATGTAAATTGTACTAGAACTATGGCTATAAATCTTTGAGAAGTGCCTGGCTGTTATCTGAACTCCCAGCACATGGCAGATGATAACTATTAGCACTGTTAATGGTGATGTAATGTTAGTATTATCCTGGGCTATGCCATCTGGAGAGGTGTCTTGGGTACTGTTCTATGTATCCTGACATTTGATGAGATGCTCCACTGAAAATGAGCAAAGGGGGGAAGGAAATTCTGCAATCCAAATGGCAGAAATGTTCCATGTGCAGACATCCAGATCAAGAGAAAAACCTAAGAGCAAATCAGTATCCCTTCAGCCAGAAGCTAAAGGACACTAAGCTTCCAGCAAGCAGACAGTTTCCTGCAGTTTGTCTTTATCTGTTTTTTTTTTTTTTTTTGCTTTTGTTGCTGTTTTGACATGTTTCTTTCCACCACCAAAGAACACAAGATCTCACTTTAATCCTAAGTCATCATTCTAGGTAGTGGTTCAGAGGCTGTGGGGGTGGGGCAACTTGATTTAAGCCATTTCCACACCATTTCACTGTGGTTTATCCCAAAGAAGAAAAAGGTCTCATTTGGCGGAACTGTGATCTTTAAGTTTCGCAAAACTTACTGTTCTTTATGTAGACTGTCTTAAGAACACATGAACTGTAAAATGTGCAGTAACTACAATCACCATGGTTCATGTAAGAATCCTCTCAATGGATCAGCACACCAACACCATTGGCTTCAAAGCCTCAGTCATCATTATTATCTGCAAGGCCTTGACCAATCACCACTTCTTCTTTGACAAACTCCCGTTTAGATGGCACAAGTTCCACCATGTCCTCAGCTTGGCAACATCTACTACACTGGTTTCTATTCAGGGCAGCACAAGTGGATTGGCAACAAATGAAGCACAGGCACATGACACTTTAACCCAGTGCATCTAACAATCCTCTCTTGCCCTTCTAATTACTCCACATTTGCTTAAAAGGCTGGGTTTGTGCATGAAACAGAATGGCAAATGCTGTTAGATGAAGTGGCAGGAATCCCTCAAGGAAGAGAAAACAGTTTAACACAAATGCCTTTATTTGGCAGTTTGGTTATAAAAAGAAGCTAAACTGAAGGTGTGATAATCTGAGAAGGGGGAATGTAAGTCAACAGAATGGCTTGGGGTTAGAGAATGCAAACCATGAAAGAAAGGGAAGGACTCCAAAAAGGGTATTGGTGGAGCTGCCAGGAGCTGAAGCCAAATCAAAGAGACACTCAGTGAAAATCTCCCAAAGGCAAAACAATTAAGGCCTTCCATGAACTAGGAAGCTCAGTATTCCATCTTATGACCCTCATTCTATATCTCTGTAAATTAATCCCCTTGCTGTCCACAAACCTTCAGTGAATTGTGCTACGCAGTCTTGGTTCAGTTGTACCATAGGATGCAAAGATTGATGGAGGTGATAAAAGGAGAAAATGATGCCAAAAGCCAAAACAAAATAATACAGAGATCCAGAGAAACAATCAGCAAAAATCAAACCAGAGGTGATTAAGGATGCCACCAGCCTTCCCTGTGGATCTCTGCAGATTAGTGGAATACCATCTCCTCAGAGGGTTAAAGCTACTAACAGTGCCAGTATGACATACAGGAGTTCTGTCCTGTATTTCACAGTTTCCTGAGATTCATTGAGAAAAAATCATGTAACCTGTGTGTAGTAAAGGATTGATGGGATAACAAATACTCCCTTCTGATCAACAGTCAATTGCTCTTCATTGCAAGCTTCTCACTTCTGGGCATCCTATCCTCCTGTATACTTTTGGCTCTTGGGTAACACTAGTCTACAGTCTTCCACACATTTGCTTCCAAAGGCCTTTACTACACAATACTAATAGTCACATGTCCAGCTAGAGACTCTTTCTTCATCGCCATTCTCACCTCACTGAACATTAACCAGGTTGGAGCTGTATGCCAGGCTCCAGAAAGAATGGCAGCCAAGAGAAGAGCAGCCTCTGAGCAGCTCTCAGGTAAGAGCCAAAGCCTACTCACACAGTTAGAAGGACCAGTTGTCTCCACCAAGCCATGAAGCAACATCCATATATACTCCACAGATACTTTGAGAACAAATTACATTATTCTTTGACCTGGAAATTATCACTCACCCAAACATTTGGGGCAGCACTGTCCTGGGGGTGTATGACTAAGGTGCTGGGGACAAGAGAGAATGGGACAGACTTCTCTCACGCACTGTGTCCTGCCTCCCTAAGAAAAGAGAGAGAGAAAAAAAGCATATTTAGAAAAGTCAGTACACATAGGTGATACAAACAAGATGCCCAGAGCAAACACAGACTTTCCTTTAGTATTTGGTCCCTGAACCAACTGATCAGCTCACACTGAGTGTTAGATTGGGATTCCCAGCTAGCATTTCTTCCACTTTCCTTATAGGCCCTAAGGATTCCAGCTACTAAAAGATCACCTTCAGTTATATGATTGCACACAGCATCCCTTCCAGGCCCCACCATCTTTCCTTATCATTTCTGTTGTCAAGCCTAACTTTAGAGTAGGCTTAGGATAACCAGCCATCTCAGTTTTCCTAGGATATGAGATCAGTTTAAAATGAAGAAAGTTAAAACAAAGACTGTAGGGGAAGCTGTAGCCACGCCTACTTAGGGGCTGGCTATAGCTGTGTCTGACCATGCTTGCGAGGGTGTGGTCAGGGTGATGTAGTGTGACTGTGTTTTCTTTTTCAGTTTCTCTTTTGGGTTTGGTTACAGACCGCTGCCACGCAGGCTGGCTAGGTCGCTCTGTAAGTAAGGCTTTTCCCTATTAAATTTCTTACATTTATACCTGACTCCTTTATTGGTAATTTCCCACTATAAAAGACAACAAAAACACACCAGCAATCCAAGTGAATCCAGGATGAGGGGACTATTCTAATGATCACTGCCTCTTGCCACATCCTCTGACCAAGCAAAGGGGTCCTATGGCTGAGACTTTTTTGATCTCTCTGATTCCCATCTTTCTGCAGGTATCTTCCTGCAGTAAGGCTTCATCCTCAGTCTCAGCTTCCCACTGTTGGAGAATGCCCCAATGATAGTCCAACCAGAGGAGGCAAACCAGCTGGAAGCCAGTGTGCAAGAGGACCATTTCACTGCCTATTGAACACTGACAAAATCTGGGTCACTAGTTATAAGGTTGTAAATGGATGATACTGAGAGAACTGGAAGAGCCTATGAAGCCCAATAGCAGAAGTTTTGAAGATTCTGGATAATTTTTGTATTCCCTCCTTCTAACCTCAAGAACCCCTTATTCCCACCACTCCTTCTCATTCTCTTGAGCCAGCATCCCTCCCCATTTCTCTACCTGTTGGTCTCTGTGTTCCCTTTGGAAGGCAGAGATGTGGACTTCTCCCATCACTCCAGACCATGAAGTCTCGGTGAGTGTATATATTCAGAAAGTTGGAACAAGGAAAACTAAAAGTGCTTCTGAGTGCGTTCACATCTAACAAACCTGCAAGGCTGGCATAAAGACTGTCCCAATGCAGCTGGACATTGGTGTCACACACCTTTAATCCCAGCACTTGGGAGGCAGAGGCAGATGGATCTCTGTGAGTTCAAGGCCAGCCTGGTCTACAGAGGGAGTTCCAAGACAGGCTCCAAAACAGTACAGAGAAACCCTGTCTTGGGGAAAAAAAAAAAGACTGCCCCAATGTAATACAAGTCACTAAGTCATTATATGAACTTTATGAATGAAGTCTTATTTTTCAGAAGTAGGTGAATTTGGTAAATAGATTAACGGGCGACTGGGGTATTGAGCTGGTGCGAAGTCCTTGCTCAGCCTCCAGAGACTGATTGAACTGGGAGGTGAAAAAATGATGAAAATGTAGATGAACACAATGACACAGAAAAGCTGGAGTCACATGGTCTGAGCTCTCTGCTGGAAAAACTGCAACACCCTAGAAGCACCTCATGCTGAACATATAAGCAGAGATATTGCATATAGCTGGTCAGGGAGATAGGTTATCACACACAGGTAAACAAGGAGGAAGTGTTTGTGTAGCTGAATCAAGGACACAGTTTAGCCAGTCTCAGTAGGAGCAGCCTCTGTAGGGGAGCAATCTTCAGGCCATAAATACTCTGGGACAGAAAGCTGTAATGGATATTTTCTGCATACACTATTAGAACACACATAAGGTAAGGCTTTGTCATTTCCTTATGAGCCTCATTGCTACCCCCACTCTCTGTGAGATGTGCTGAGGTAGCCCTTAGCCATTCTTCTGTGGGTCTGAGGCTCTGGGCTCCTTGGCATGGCCATGGCCTGGACATTCTCTCAGCACTTCTGCTTCCTAAGACTAGGTTCTCTGGGATTGGAGCTGGAGAGCTAACTAATGGGCTTGCAGCTCCCTATTACTTCAGATGGAGAGATCATAGATCAAGAGGCTTGGTCAGTGAGAAACTTAGGCCCAAAGAGCCCTGGGCCTGAGAAGGAAAGCCCAAGCTGCAGTCATTTCCTCTCACCCTCGCCAGCCCTGTCTGTGCGAGCAGCAGACATTACTAGCCTTGGCTGTGGGGATCCTATTGGCAGTCATTTCTCCCTAGCCTAGCCGGACCTGTCCTTTGTTTCTACATTCCCTAATTGTTCTAGTCACTTTTACTATTACAGTTTATTTTTTTTGTGGGGAAGAATTTTAAAAAAGAGAGGCCATGTTAAGTCTTCATAAAGATTTGTTATTTTTAAACCTCTTTAATGTTGGATTGTTCCCTAAACCAATACAAAACATGCAAAAAGTACCACAAAATACTCTCCTGTTTTTATATTATTTCCAGATCAAGAATCATTAAAAGTCTCCCAAGAATCGGGGGTTGTTCTGAGAATTCTCACTCAACTCTACATAAACCTGAAGTTAGAGATCTGTCATCAGACTTCAGAGCTGGGTAACAGGAGTCTGGGCAAGCTGCTGACATGGTCCCAGCTTATGCATAAGACCCTGGGGTTATATCCAGAGGGAGGACAGAACGATGCTGACCCTTGCTTTTGATTTCTAAGGAATTCATATGTGAGCATTTTCTTAAACTCTAAGTTGCTGGCTGTACAAGGCACTCTGTGTGCTGGCCTCTCTTAGGTGCACGACAACACAGGCTTTTCATTGATATCCTCTGTTCTTGTTGGATCAGCATCTATTTTTAAAGTATATTTTAAAATTAAAAAGTTTTAAAATATTGCATAATTGCTAAAAGTTAATGTGTCCAACACTTTGCAATGCTGGCAGGAGATTATGTGTGCACTGGTAACTTTCCTTTCTGTAAGGTCAAAGAGCAAATTTTGCATAGTTAATACAACTACACTTTGTGTTTCCCTAGAGTCTGTTAAAGTAACTTGAACTTCAGTCTGGGTTTGTTGGCTTAGTCAAGTTTTATTTTGTTTGGGTTGCAGTCTTAAAGTACAGCCCAAGTCCCCAGGCTGATTCCAGTTAATGCCTCCAATGAAAGGGCTAGCCCTTCCTAGGAACATAGTTGCAGCTCACAACCTGCTTCTACAGTTTCAGCTCAGAGGAGATTCTGGTTGAACTACAACCTGTGGCTAAGCTATACACTCACTGTGTTAAAATATCAGAAGCAAACATTTCTAAAAATGAACATATTCAAAGGTAACTACCTCTGGCTCTATCAAATCTACACAAGACTTTCAAAGTGGCTTCCCTGATTTCACTCTCTTCCACTCATCTATACCAGATAGAACCACACAGAAAGGACTCCTCTCCAACTCCTACCCATCATTCCATTGTTCTATGACACACTTGTTTAAGACTACCATATACATGCTTGGGATGTGGCTATGAAAATAACAAAAGAGGCTGGGTGGTGGTGGCACACACCTTTAATCCCAGCACTCGGGAGGCAGAGGCAGGTGGATCTTTGTGAGTTCGAGACCAGCCTGGTCTACAGGAGCTAGTTCCAGGATAGGCTCCAAAGCCACAGAGAAACCCTGTCAAAAAAAAAAAAAAGAGGTAGTACCATTACCAATTAGCACACTTTCATCTTTGCTAAGGCTGAGGATGGCTCTACTCTGTGTATATAGCACGAAGTTCAACCTATTCAAACTAAAGCCACATGTCCACCAATACTTCTTCCTTAGTCTCTTGACAAACATTTCCAGACTTCCACGCAGATAGGCATGGTCACATGGTTGATTTCTAATCAATGAAAATAATATAAAACATCTGTAGGCCTAATGCCATCATCAATCCTTGTTTTAATTCTGCATCAGCAATGGACAAAAAATTAAGCGTCTTCTCCCTGTGAAGCCTTCTAGAATCCTCCATTTCTCAGGAATGCCCCCCTTGTCCATATCTTCTCTTTTATCATTTATTCTTTTCTATTTGGGGCACATATAATTTGGGGTGCAAATATAAAAGCTTCATCTCACAAGGTGACATAGTTTTGACTCCATGTAAGATTTTCTTGGGGGCAGTTATCAGTTCTGTGCTCCTGATATACTAGAATAATTGTTCAATGAGAGATAGAGCCTTCACACTCATGAGCTCCAAATTCTGGCTGTGTTCTTCTAGAGATTGTTAATTGTGGGACACTAATGAATGAACTGGTAGAGCCGAGGGTGGTCTGTGTCCACTTCCCTTTGAACCTCCTTGGGTTTGTATATTCTCACTTGACTGACTGCACTTACTAGCTACTAACTAAATGCCTGTGGATGCTGATGTAGCCAAAATCAATATTCAAACTCAAGGTGTAGAGCTGTTGACACAATCCCTTCCAGGCAACTGAAAGTATGGTGTTGTAATCTAGTCAAGAAGGACAGGAGTCCCTCTGTGTTCTGACCCTCACCATCCATCTTTCTGTGAGAGAGGCAAGCTTGTTCACTACAGACAGCCATTCGTTACAACTGTATAGTCAAGCACTTTTAAACAAGGACCTGAAACCTACCTTAGCTCTATTTTTTATGCTTTTATACTTGGTTTATATGATTGAGTCAAGAACACAATTGCTTTGTGTTAAAGTTTACCCTGCAGCAGCAATTTTGCTGCATAATAAAAATCTGTCTTCCTGAATGGCGTGATGAATGCAAGATGATTAAACCACAGCCATGTACATGTGGGATGCCTCTGCAACCCCCAAGGATCCATAGAGAATTGGGGGCTGGAACCTATCCTGTAATATGTGACATGGCACTGCTCCCTTGTTCAGGATGTAGAGCCTAGCTGCCTGACTAGAATCTGGGAGCAGAGGTGCTAAACAACGTTTTAA